TATAATAGGTCTACAAGTGCTTGTTAATATAATCCACCACATACTGCTCTAAAAGCTGCAAAGTCTGGATGAAAGTGCATGCAACTGCTAAATATCTACTTTTAAAATATTGGAAAAATAAGTTTACATATGCCATTAATCCTTGATTATTTTACCTCTTTGAAAACAATGCTATATCTGAACTTTATGCATGTAAACACAGAGATTATGTGCATTTGTAAACTAAAAAAGGACATTAAAAAAGTATTAATCGTAGCACGAGATGCCTCATCGTTACAAATGTAATATTTCTGCCTTCAAAAGAATAAACTCATTTTATATAAATGACTCATGACTCCCATGCACGGCTGTACTTTCACAGCCCACAGACTTTCTAAAGCTACTGAAATGAATACGAGAGTGAAAATACTGCATTTTGTTTTTAGATTGTGCCAAATCTTCATTTATTGGGACAAAAAACAGTAACTAATAAACAAAAACCAAAGAGAAACAAATGCACATAAAGGCCCAGAGATTTATATAGCTTTGGCTTCCCTCTGTAACAATACCTGTGTTACTATACAAAACCAAAACAGAAGAATATCACTGAAAATCTGCGTTCTGTCTTCCCACACGCACAGACACGCACTCACGCACACAAACACAAACACAATGAATCACTCCTGCTTTCTATGATGAAACAAACGCCTCTCATTTGTTCCAGAAACCTAACCAGAGCAGCGACGCTACCTCTAAGCCCATCTGACGCTCCCCTCCTCTGACCACAGGGCCACCTCTCAGGCCTCTGACCCACTTACAGCTTCTCCTCTACTTTGAAATTTGAGCCCTCGCTCTGCGTCTTTCCTTCTCTCTCAAACTGGTCGGCTCAAAGCAGTTCCTGTTTAGTTTAACCCAGACAGAAAACTGACGTGAAATCTGAAGTAACACCCTTTATCTGAAATTGCAGAAGAAAGAGTGAGCCAATAACGTTTAACAGTAACCGACTGGGCAATCTCGCACGTCAGCTGTTGGCCGGTAATTATAGCGGAAATCCTTTCGTTGGAAATGCTAACATACTAATATTTATGTGTGCTTATCTGATGACTTCTTCATTCAAAACCAGACGTTAACTTGAAACTCCCTAAGTTTCTTTATGCTTCCAGCTTTGGAGAAACTGATCTTCAATTTATTCTCTTTGAGATATAAAATGACTTCTGGCGTTACTCAAGCACCTTCACCAGTAAACTGAAGTGCCTCTGGCTTCACTACATTTTCACTTTGAGTCTCACTCATAGCCTCGTAGTCTAGTTTCTCTTTCTCACTCTGACTTTGTTTGTTTTTTATAAATTGCGCAATGTGAATTCCCCCAAAGGCCACACAACAGACCTTACCACAAACGGACCAGGGCTCTAAAGCTTGTTTTGTATAATCGCCTTAATCCCCAATCAGATAACTCGATAATATTACATAAACAGGAAGACGGAAACAAAGCTGAAACTGCAGCCGGAATTTCACCTTACTGTAACTGCTCAGTCTAACCATTAGAAGAGTCATTCATTCATTCAGTCAGTGCTATAAATGTTGGTTTTCCAACCCATTTTTCTTTCCACTGGTATCAGAGATATACGCATGGTATCCTTTGCCATCTGTGCTGCCACACTCACAGTATCACAGTAGTGCTTTACATCTCATACTCCCATTTCCTAACATTAAAAACACTATTATGTTGTTAAGAAATCCATTTGAACGCAAAACTCATCTTCTTCTCATCCTAACCAAGTAGATTTTAGTGCCTAAACATAACAGTACAGCGAGTACAAGCGATACTTGTGTGCAAAGTGGAAAAAAGTCCCAAAGTAGATGCAAATTGTGGTCTCCGGGTTGATAAATTTGGGTGTTATGTTATTGCCACTCCTCCGGTTTTACAATGTGGACTTTATTCTGTCAAAAGGGACCGTTATATGTGGGCTGCAGACAGTGACAGCAAAAAACAAGTCATGCATATCTGTAGGACAGTAGTATTTGACTGCCTGGCAGTAGAATGTGGTGCATTTTACTATAAAGGATGGCACAGTGACCCACAATGGCATATAGCTGAAAAAATACCATGACTGAGCGATTAGTTGAGGGGCAGAGCAGTAATGGTAACCACTTACTAATAAGTGAAAACTGTGGTTGTTAATTTGTTGGTTTTTGATTCCCAGTTTAAAGATCCCTGCTTCTTTATGACTGTAAAAATATTTTGGGTTTTTGCTTATTCAAGAGAGAAAATAGGTCACTTAACTATGTCACCAATTTTCTGATATTTTTTCCGTCTACTACAAGAACATAGAGCTCATGAAGTGAAAGAGGCAGGAAACTGGTGATAATATCACATGAACGGTCAAACAGAAGCACCCAGAAGTGGAACCAAGCAGCAGCATCAGAGCAAAAATGCAGATTTTATCAGTGAGACGGGGCTGAAAACACAATCTGCAGTCTCTTACCCGCAGTCGGGCGCCGGGCACCATCGACAATCCGGATCAGAAGCGAGGCACCTCCTCAGTAGGAATTCCTCATACTTCTCCATCAGGGCCGCATCATCCAAGATGTCGGCCACCTGCCGCGGGGCCAGCCTCTCGGCACACTCGGGGCAGCTGAGCTGGACTCGGCTCTCTGTGATTTCAATGCGGAGGTACTGGCGCAGGCAGCAGAGGCAGGATCGGTGGCTGCAGCCCAGCAGCTCGGGGAGCTGGTCAGCGGGCTGACGCACCAGGCACAGGGGACACTCCAGGAGATTGGTCTCCCCGGAGGAAGCGCCTCCACCCAGAGACGGCTGGCTGGAGGAGAGTGGCTTTGAGGGAGTGCCGGAGGCTGCATCCTGGGGGGTCGTGGCGGTTGTGGCCGTGGTGGTTGTGGTGGGGTTAGCAGCAGCTGCAGCAGCTGCAGAACTCAAGGCGGAAGGATGCAGTTGTTGTTGTGTGTGGTGATGTTGGTGATGATGAGATAAAGGGGTGGCCGCTCCTCCTTTGGGGGCCCTGGTTCCCCGAGAGCTCCGTTTACCGTGGAAGAGGCTGTGGAAGGAGATGCGGCCCTGGCGCTTGCCCGGCGCACGGCACTTAGGGTTGGGAACGCCACTCACCGAGGAGTGAGGCGACTCTGAGTCCTTTTCTGATCCCATTTTTCCCAGAAGAGACAGACAGGGTCGGTTATTGTCCCCTTGTACCGAGGGACTCTGAACTAGTCAAACACACACTCTATCAGACACACAAGGGAGGATTTGTCCACTTGTGAAGCCAAACTGGAATGCAAATGCTACTCCGGTTTGAGGCTGAGAAACTTGAGAAACAGTCTCCCTCCTCTTTTTTGTTTGATTGGAAACAAAACCTTATCAGCAAAACAGAGACTGAGATAACAGATAACCACAACAGAATATGAAAAGTGAAAAAAAAATCCACTTAGATTCCCACAGTACTTTTCAAACTTGGCAGTCAAAGCACTCGCGAAGAGAAAAAAGCCTCCAGCCTTTCATCTTTTAGGCAGATGTTAAGGTCCGACTTTAGTGTGACTCTCAAAAGCTTAATGTCAGTTTCAATCAATCGCTCTCCAACAAAAACAAGAGAAGAATCCACAGCCTGACTTAGTCCAAATGTTGAAATAATTCCTCCGTTTTCATCCGATTCTCTTGAGCTGTATTCAGAGCGTCTCCTCCGTTCACCCTCCTCTGCTTCTTGTTGAGCACCGGCTTCTCTGAACGCTCTTTTTCTGTCAGGAAGAAGAGAGCAGGAAGTTAGTACAAAGAGCATGCTCAGTATGACACACACCTCTCTTCCCCCCACCCCCCCGTCTCTGTGACTCTGCTTTGCTCTTCCTGGGTTTCGATCTGATCATTAACTCCTTAGATAATCTGAACCGAGTATCTACCTGTGCTAATTGCATTTAAACCCACAAACACACACAGACACGCACATTAATGAAATTAAATGTTTTTCTGTATGTGTTAAGTAACCATAATTGAGAGGTTAAACAGGACACATCTGGATGAGTTAAGCCACCAATTAAATCCATGACATCATCATCCAGCCCGGCCAATCGTGTGTCCTTGTGAAACCAGTCTCTCTATCGCTCTCCATCACGCTGAGCATCGCAAGCTCTTCCTCCACTTCACACTGCGCTGCTAGTGCCGTTGCCATGGCAATGCTCACTATGAGCGAGGCAAACAGCGACCCACTCTGTGACTCTGGCACTTATGTACGCACACACAGAAACACACACGCAGCTGAGCATGAACTGCTAAATGGATTCACATCGAGACACATGTGATTGCGCGCGGGCACACACACACACGCACACACACTCAAAAGATGTTTTTTAGCTGTAATGCAGGTACAAATACACGTTGAAACACGTATGCATTCAGACTACACACAGGCACACACAAACAAGGAAATTTTTCCTACTGTCTAAAGACATAAACAAACACACACACACTTAAACATCAGATATGAAAAAGCATACACTCACATGTTCAGTCTTGTAAAACAACAACACACACACACTATAAATGAAAAATGATAATAACGCATGCACACAAACACGCAGAGTAGTAATGTAACTGCAGTATATACCAACACACAGGTAAACAGTTTTACACCCAATAAAATCCAACACAAAGATACTAAATGGCAAACTGGAGGGTTGAGAAATGAAACCAGAATGGAAGTGATTACACGTGAAGTTCCTCTAGTGGCCACTTGAGGCCTCTAAAAACGAGTTAATTCCCCGTGACTCC